CCGGATCTCCACGGGTTTTATGATAATATTTGTTAAGCCGGTTTTATCGCGAGGCGCTAGAAACCGAGGTCGGTTGATGCGTTATCGATTCGGACGGCTGCCAACGATATCTCTGTCTTCGTGGCTGTTCGCGTGTTCCTCTCCCTTTTCTCTCTCTCTCTCTCTCTCTCTCTCTCTTTCTCTCTCTTTTTCTCTCCTTTGTTTTACGACGGCGCGGCGGCGAGCCACGCTTCGAGAACTGACAGTGAAAGGGATAAATTGCGTTGCCGCTTCTAAGTAACGAGATGCAGATTTCCAAGACACTTTTAGATGGTAGCTTTATCTCTCGCGATAGAATTGTTTCTGATTACCTGAGATGGGGATAAATCCGTCGGCAGACGCGGAGATTTTACGCATTCTTTTTTTTTTCTTTTTCTTTCCAAGTTTCATCTTACAGCGCGGAGCATAGGGATTTTTAAAGCGTTTTACTTCACCTTTTCGGTAAAATTTCCGAAACGATATTTCAGGAACGACGTTCCTTTATCGAAATTTTTCAACAACGTTTCAACTAATATTCTGTTCTGAAATTTTTTAAATAATTTAAGTGTTATATTTTATCGAAACTTTCCAATACATATAAGAGACAACATGTTATTATCACGCAGTGTCGTATTTTTCACGATCGTGAAGTTTGCACAAAAGTGATAGTACTACGTTTTACCAACACTACGTGTACAAATAATTATTGTGAACGTTATATGATCGTACTTCAACTTCGATAAAAATCAACGTCCAATTTTTCCAATTTCAAATTTGTTTGAAATGAAAGAAAATGAAACACACAACGTCGAGATTAATTGATTCATCTCACTGGCAATAAATGCAACCATTGTAACGCATTAAGGAGAACGCGACCCTCGCAACGAACAACTACTTGGAAAAGTTTCGCGTACAATTAAACGGAATGCACAACATTAAGAACTCGCGTTACCCGAGTTTCTGCTGTTCTTAGACGACGTCTCGAGGAACAATGGTGGAGAGAATCTGAACGTAGAACTTTCTAGCGCGTGTCTTTGCATTCGTCATTTATCATTAATGCAGCTCGTGAGTCGTTGTCGCTTGTGCTAATGCAGTTTTAAAAATGGATAGGTTACGTACATATATTTCATAGGACTTGGGCTCTCTTGTTTCGTTCGACGTGTAATCTGCAAATTTGAGAAATTTACAGAAAGCACTTGGCCACGTTCGCAAAATAGCACGAAGAATGTGGGTACACTGTGTCTCTGAAAAACGATACGCGTGAAACGAGAGGCGAACGAATGGAAATTGAAACTTCTAAATTTTCGTAATTTTTGCAGCTCACTCGTTTGTAGTATATAAACGAGACACGTTATTATTCCCAATAAAGTCGGTCATTTCAAAATGTAGACAAAGAGTTTAATTGAACTTCTGTAGAGAGTGTCCCATTTAATGGACGTTTATTTCTGAATTTTTACGTTTATATTTTAATAGCGTTTTGCATTTCAGCGACTATCGGTGCAGGAATGAAAATTTTGAACGAGGGTTATCCATTTTGATCGTCAGCAGTAAAGTATTGTTCCGGAATTCCTGTCGATGGTTTTGGAACGGGTTATAAATATTACAGAATGTAACCGACGCAAGCAGCTAAAGTTTGAGACTCTTGGAAGAAAAGGAAGTACAATTTAGAAGCAGAGAGTTGAAATGTTACGAACGTTCCATTATCGAATTACCCATGGTGAAATAAAATATATCAGCGCGGTTTCTAGATGCTCTGTTGGTCGTTCCATTGGAATACGGGTCGCAGCTCACCGAGCACAGTATAATTTAAAAATTGCTTCCTCTCTCAAAATGTGCTTCCTATTCGTGCAACTTTTTGTAAATTTTTTGCATATTTCTCCTCCCGCGCGCGATTTTTCGGATTTTTATTTCAAATTTTAAATTTTCATTCGATACGTATACATGTCGTCTTTTTAATCATTTTAATCGAAATTTTACGACCAAACGTTACAAATAATAATACGGCCGAGGCGAATAATTTATGGATAACGATCGTCGTGTATCGCGCGACGGAGAAATTCGAATTTGTGCGACCGATAGAACGTGAATCTCGAACTTCCTTCCGCGGACAGAGCCGGTTTTACTTTCGAGCGTGTCTGGCTGAAACTAACGGACGATAGGATCACCGGTAACGACATTAGCGCACAATTATGACGACCGATCTATGAGTTTCGAAGTGCAAGAGTAAATTAACCGCATGGGTTGGTTCGGCTGGCACGCTTCCGAACTTGCCGCTACACACGGCTACCCGAAACTCCGATAATTCGCGATCACCTCATTGACAATAACACACTATCTGGCTCGATTTGCATTACGATCGATTCATTTCGTTCGGCCAATTTTCGCTCCCCTTTCACGGGAATTAAGCATTACGCTAACATTCAGCTGATATTCGTCCAAGATTCTAATCGAAATTTTTTTCACCAACAAAGTCTCGTGTTCCATTGCTTGGCTTCTTTCATTCATAAATTGGTGGAAATTTAATTTTTCGAAAATGCGAAGGACGATATAATTTAATGGTTCAATTTTGAAAAGTTTCTTCCAGCAAAAGAAATTTTATCTACGTATTTCGTAAAAATTTTACAAGAAATTTTCTTCTTGTGATTTTCTTCTAGTAGTAAAAGTTAGTCGTTCATTTTTATTACTCCTATAATTCTATAATGTTAAATTCTCAAGTATTTCTGAAATTTTCAACATTTATTCTCTTTTTCTATTATTATAAATCTCCTTAAAATCGAAGAAAAGAGATTGTGTCGCTTAAATCGATACTTTCTTCACCTAAATTTTCAATTAAGTTGCATCAATTTAAATCAGAATAAATTTCTGTTTCTTTGACGCAATACTCGAACGCTCGAACGTCAGACGAAAATTCAACACGCGATATCCGTATGCTACTTCCAAATTTTTGTCAATGACACTCTTTTACCTACGTGAGTAACACAAAGAACCTCGTCAACGAAGATTCAGCGAATTTTATTGAGTCGAAACTCTCGACGAAACTTACATTTCACGCCTGAGTATTTAACATAAAATGTTCGGTGGACGAAATGCGAATGGATTTTATCTCGCGTGAAAGGCACGGTTGCAAAACGATCTGCGATCGCAGCAGGTCACACGCAGGTTTCCGCGCCGTGAGACCAGCATTATGCCAACTTGAATAGCATTTTCGCCAGTGGCCCGAACCGGGCAGCGTGAAAGGCACTGTCAACGACAATCGAGCAAAAGCTCGGCTTTCGATCGGCTGGAAATAACGAGCGAAGACCCTCTTCGACCTCAGCCGGATTTTTTTTTCTCCATCCCCATTCCCCTTCGCTCACGTTTACGATGTCCTTTCATTTTGAAAATTTCCACCAGATTATTAATTAAATTAATATTTTATATATAATTTATTTATATTAAATATACAGGGTGTTTCGTAACTTGTGGAACCCACTTCTGTCTGAGCTGATTGTACGCCTAAAAATAATGAAAAAAACGTCATATAAATATATGTCCTATCTGTCTCCGTTTATGAGATATAATGAATTTTCTGTTTTAATTACTTTTAGAAAAGATGCTCGAAATGACCACCTTGCATTTGATGACAAACTTGCACGCGTCTTCTCATTCATCTGGTTACTCTCTCTACCATTCCCGGTGTTTCTTGATTTCGTCGGAAGTCTTGCTCTATTCTGTTTCGTAGTATTTCAGCATTTTCAGTCGATGTTGCGTATACAATAGATTTTAAATGTCCCCACAAATGAAAATCTAATGGATTCAAATCCGGAGAACGAGCAGGCCNAATTATTCCTGCCCATACGTTTAAACTAAACTGGTGTTGATGTCTTGAATGCACAATAACATGTGGGTTTTCTTCATCCCAGTTATGATTATTATGAAAATTGAATGTACCATCCCTGGTAAAACTAGCTTACTAGAGTTTGCTCTGTTTATAAAATTCATTATATCTCATAAAATGAAGACAGATAGGACATATATTTATATGACTTTTTTAAAATTATTTTTAGGCGTACAATCAGCTCCCGAAGTGGGTCTCACAAGTTACAAACACCCTGTATATATATATATATATATATATATATATATAATAAAATTAATGAAAAGTTCTATACAATTTAATGAAAATTAAATAGGGGAATTAAAATTAATAATGATAAATTGAAGTGCTAGCAATAGCGATTAAACTTATGTTGTAAGTTAATAATTTGTAAATTTTATTATGATAAAAATAATTGTTAGAGAGATCTCGCGGGCTTTATAGTTTTGTAGCTCGCCACGTTGAAATGTCGAGTTCTCTCGCGGATTCTTAGGCTAGAAACCAACGCAGATAAAAATCTGCTGACAGTGGATGATGGATCCACGGTGGGAGAATCTTGCCGTGGTGTTCGAAGGTTTCGTGCGAGACGAGGGATTGGAGATTCGCGAGGGGGATGTCGAACGTGGCATTAAAGTACGGGGATTTGGATAAGCTGGGGTACGACGGGGAGAAAGGCTCGAAGTGATTTTTGTACGTGGTGATAAACAGCAGTTGTTCGTGTCTGTTTCAAGCTCGAAATAGTTCTAAAATTACTCTGTATGGTTTTAATGTTAATTTTAATGTTTGATCTTTTTCATTTTTAATACTTATTGCTTGGTGTCGTCGATAACAATTTATGATTTCAAATTACCGAGTTTTGGGATTTTTAATGACCATAGTCATTTTCTATAGTCCAATGATAAACTTTACTTGAAGATTGATAAATTCTTCAAACTGATTCATCTCATTCTTTGTTCTCTTTATGATATTGTAAAACCACAGATTCTATTCTAAAAATATTTTTATTGAAAATTTTACGTTTCACGTGTGACTATTTCATCTTAAAATATTTATTTCTCCAAATCATTATTTGAGTAAAAATTTGCCGAGTTTTATAATTCATACTTGTACCTGCAATGCTCCTCATTAATATTTTTTCACCGTGTGATTGCTACTTAGTTACCCACGAATGAATTGAAGAGACAGAGATGGAGAGATATAGGCAACAATCAGTCCTAATTAAAAAAAAAAAAAAAAAAAAAAAGGAGAAAATAAAGAAACAGTTGAAAAGTTGAGATATTTCATACGAGGAGCCATGAAATCCAACTTTGCTTATTAGCAATTGGAACAGTCACGAAAACACGAGGCACAGTTCTCGCGTTACACAGTAAATTAATTATACACCGTGAAGTTTATTTTTCTTTCTGGAATATCCCTTATCACGATGAACGCCGCAAAACGTGTAAACAAGGCTCGTTTTCTACGTTGAACTTTTGCTGGTCTCTGCTTTTGCACTTTCTCTCTGTACTGACAAATTAGTGTAAGGAGAAATGTTAATGAGTTCATCGTTATAATTTATGCAGCTTGTTAAGGAGTACATGCGATGAAGTTTTACCGACTTATGTAACGTGGTTTGATAATAAATTCTTTTTGCAGATTCTCCTTCTAGCATTCTCGTTACATTTTCATTGAAAGATCTAATTTAAGTGCTAATTTGCAAAATATTATATCTTGGAGCGAATATGGTTTACCTACTCTACTTAAAACGCGACTCTCGGAAAATACCCACTTGTTGTAGCATCGACTTTCTTAAAGCGCACAATCCAAATTACGAGGATTCAAAAGTAACAAATCATGAAGATTTTGTTGAAAACAGTTATTTTATATCAAGCTGATATGATCCGAATTTAAAAAAAAAATTTGCATTATGTTAAGAAGAATCATCAGAATTCTACAAAAAAACCTGTATCGAGCAGAATTCTTTGAATCAGTATTCTTTAAAAAAAATCACGTTATGTTAAACAATATCACTGCGATGCTTCAAAAAGATTGTATTATTATTGAGCAGAATTATTGAAATTCTTTAAAAAAATCATTGTACTAAACAATTTCATTAAGATTCTTCAAAACATCATACTGTACTGAGTAGAATTTTCAAGATTCTTGAAAAATTAGATTTATACTAAACAGAACCGAAAAATTATATGTTAATTATGTTATAATTATATTAAACAGAATCGTCGAGATTTCTTCGTCGAGAAAAAATCACAGTATATTATCTCTTTAAAAAATCATATTATGCTACGCAGAATCATTGAAATTCTTCAGAAAATTAAATCGCATTAAACAGAATTTTCGAGATTAAAAAGAAAAAACAAAAGCCACATTATGCCTAAGTAAAATCACCGAAATGTAAACCAGACCTCCTTTCGATCAGATGAATCAAAACCGCGGATGACATTCGTATCAGTCGATGTTTCACCGTGAAAAGTACACAACACAGACGATGAAACGTCTGCAACGAGCTACCGCCATTTCCGAGCGTCTTTTGTCCGCGCGTCGAGCGCTAAAATCACTGAAAGCGCGTATTGCCGGTGCATGCGAATTGAAATTTCGGCCTGTGTATCAGCCGATTCACCGGGGCCGAAATTGCGGAACTGGCCGCGACGTATTACGGTTTCGTTCGTTCTTCTCTCGAGTAGCAGACCGCCGATCAGGCCACCATGTAAATTCTAATCAAACGATCCACGCCCGAAAAGCATTTCGTTAACAGCCGCTCTCTACCCAAGCATTCCACCGCACGCGATAACGATCACGATGGAAAATATATCGACGACCAACTCTCTATGGATCTTCATTCTCGACGTTTGTTAAAACGAGGCTAATCGAGAAATTTCTGGCTAAATTTCGAGTTCTAGGATCTAGGAAAATACGCAAATTTTATTATTTGGAGATTAGCATTCGAGTTTTTGCAAAGATAATTAATTTGTCTCTTTGAAAGTGATATATTCCCTTATTCATCGATTGACCTATAGCTGATTGTTACTCAGAATGGTAATTCCACTCGGGTTAATTAGATCACTTCGAGGTCGGAACTGGTAACTTTCTAAATGCGATTTCTCGAAAAGTATATATTCACGAGACGTAGAACCGACTATCTTCCTAGCATCATCGCACTCGTAAGCACTCGAGGCAGACGTCCAGAAAGGAAATCCCCTGAGATCCTGATTCCTGCAAATTCTTGGAATCTCAAGGAAATTCCAAAGACGATGGGATTTTTTCTCAACAGGCTCCCGTTAGCTGGCGGATCGTGTAATCTCTCAGCGAACGTTCGAAACCCCTTCTTAATCAGCTCTCTTAAGGGCTCTCGCGCTCAGGAATATCGCGAAATCGGTTCCCGAGGAACCTGGCGGCCGCAGAAAAAATTCTGTACAATTGTAAATTTCACGCCGAGCCCTCGCCGGAATCGGTGAAATCTCGCCGAGTGGGAAACAATTTTAGGGATTTCCATTAGGTCTCGGCGTGCAATCTGGCCTAAAACTGGAGGAAGAAGCGCAGGCTTTCAAGGCGTGCTCGATCCATTATAATGCCTGCCGGTATAGCGGTATTACTTCCGAGCTTTTAATATCGTTGTCTCCCTGACCCGAGCTCCCGATTCGAGTATTTTCGCCGTGGCGCGGGCGCGCTTTCCGGTCAAAATTAAAATCTGCTTTGTGCGAGCAATTTCAGCGTGCACAGCCCTACCCGAGCGTGGCCGGGGGATCTTACGAGCCGCGGACTTAACGGATAATAACGTCGTAAACTTTCGAGAAATTCGTTTCACCCTTCCACCTAGGCTTTCCTCTGTTCCGTCCGTAGCGGGCTTCGTTTCCTGATCGCGTCGTTCCAGTCTTGGCCAAAGTTTCTTCTCTCTCTCTCTCTCTCTGTCTCTCTCTTTCGGTTTCTTCGCCAAGTCGGCGGAGGGTTTCGTTTAAGCGTTAGTTGCAACCTTCGAGCAGTTTTTGAAGGAGAGGCGGGAAACTTTGGTCCATGCCCTCGTGCATTAATACTAATTAGGTGATGTTGCTTTGATCGTTAGTTGCGTTAGTTTTCGAACACGCAAGATCGCGAACGAAACGCCATGCTCGGATAAAATTGATGTTGTAAGCTCGCGGATTTGGAGAATCGTTGAAGATTAAGATCGAAGCTTTGGTGTTACAATAGTTTTTATTGAAGGATATACTTCGTTCGTCTAATATTATTGTAATATTTTCTTTATCAATATCACGTGGATTTCCTTTTTTAGGGAGTTTCAAGAGTTTGTTCGAAAGATTTAATAATCGAATATTGCTCCTTAAATATATTTGATTTAGTAAATTTAATTGCTAAAGTAAACAGCTATTTCTCATTCGTTTGATCTCATATTTTATTTATCATCAGAAAAATTGATAGGAGTAGGAGTTTATTCGAAAGATTTAATAATCGAATATTGCTCCTTAAATATATTTGATTTAATAAATTTAATTGCTAAAGTAAACATTTATTTCTCACTCGTTTGGTCTCATATTTTATTTATCACCAGAAAGGTTGATATTTAATTTTCTTTATTGCTTCAAAGATAAATTAATAAGTATGGTACAACAATGATACCACTGAAACGTTGTTCGGTCGAAAATACGATCGACGTTCGCTCTCGAAATGGTGAACGATGGAGTTATATCATTTTTATCGAAAAAAACGGAGGAAGAGGAGATAATTAATTTAGGAGCAGACCGTGCCTCATCGCGAGAATCCACGAAGATAGAACGACGCGACGGAGAATGCTTAATCTCCATCGGGAATAGCAAAGTCTTGGGGAACTGTTTTCATTCCAAACTTCCGCAGTTGAATGTCAGACACTTGCCAGATTTTACTTCCAGCCTCATTCTATGTTAATACAAGATATCTTGAGTGATCGTCACCGGAAACGAATTGAAATGGATTTTTAGTGGAATATCGAGTGAAATGAACACATATATATCGATATTTGATCTGACATTGTGATTAATTTCTTGTAGGCTTTCGACAAAGCTAGCATTTTTTTTTGACGATAAAAAAAAAAAAACTCAAAAACAGCTGTGTTACAACATACACTAAAAGTTAATATCTCTGTCCCAAACAATTAAAACAATAAATTAATCTTGACGAGACTAATCGACCGATATGTTTAAAGTGCAAGAAGATCGTCAGAGTGTCATCATCATTTTTTGTAATAATATTAAACGAATCACTATTGTTAAATGCGTGTAATCTTTCGACATCAAATATCCAAATATTCGATATGCAAACGACCAAAAATGTCACTTAGTTCAGACAAATTAACTGTTGTCAAGTTAAAATCCAATCAAACAAACACATCGTCGTGAATTTAATCCATATATTCATCGAGTTTGAAACCTGGAATTGGAAACAATATGTTAACATAGAGAGAGAGAGACAGCTACCTTGAGGAATATTCTTCCCAACTAATTGTCGAACGTATTTACGTATTTTAGATTCCAACAGACAGCTGTAACCTTCGAACTTCGCAAATACCCGTAAAACAAATTTACAAGCCGCGCAAACGTTCAATTTGTCGACGTTGAGCTAAACAGCCGTAAGTAACCGAGTTACGGCGCGTCTCTGCGCGCAGTTTGCCCGCGTGTCGTGGCATTTCATTAATCTTCGATGTCCCCGGAAACGCGCAGCCGGCGCGTATTGTGCAGGCCCCGGTGTGTGTCGCGATTGCGCCCGGGCCGTCCCTTAACCGAGATACGAAGCTATCATAAATAGAATCCGAAGGAGGCCTTCAACAATTCATGGCGGGCTCCGTTGAACGTGAACGCTGTCGCGTGTACCTTGGAAACTCTGCTGGCGTCGAGAATTTGGGTGGCTGATAGGTTACGCCGCTTGGTAATTACCGCGGCTCGAAAACGCGACACAAAAGCGAGCGAACGTTCCGCGAAACGAGGACTCGAACCGCGGAGGAAAGCTACGGGGATCGAGTTAGAGAGAGGCGCATCTTGCTAATTCATTTACGTAGCCGGGGGTTTGGAAATCAAACAACGGCGACGCGACGACGCACACGCGAAATTTGATAACGATTCCGCAACGTTGACGAAACCTTTGATAACCCTGTTCGATGTCGCCGTTTGTACCGGCGTGTCAGCGTTATATTATATTAATGGCCTGATCACGTCGAGTATTTCTTGTGGCTTTTTTTCAATTTTTCAGTTAC